CATGACACCTGCTGGAACACAACAAGCTTCCTGAAAAGCCTTTGAACTCCTCACATTCTAGAGCAAACAGGCACCCATCTCCTTGTCAGATAGGAGCATGCCCTAGCATTTTGTGGAAACTACCAGGACTGCAACCTACAAAGTGCAGAGCTGAAAGGAAGACAGAGACGAATCTAGCAAAGGCTTTGATTTTAAGTCCTGTGGTCGCTGCAGACCCAGGGCAGGAAGCTGCTTGCAAACTTATTCAGCCAAGGAGGCCTGAACACCTATGATGTGCGTTTCCATCTCAGAGCTGTGACTGCGTGCTCACGCTGTCCTGTGGGAAGTGTGGCCACACATGTGCCATGTTAGCAGAAGGAAACATGCTATGGTTTGTGTCTAGATGTCCCCCAAAGCCTCATGCAGTCACAGAGGATTTTTGAAGGTGACTGAATCTTGAGTGTGCAATGCTGGGATTTCGGAGTGCTGAGATTAATAGTGGGTAATTGGACTGGCACTGCCCTCATCCTGATAGCCTGGACACAGCATGAAGGGTAGAAAAAGACCAGCCTTTCCCTTCCTTGTTGTCTTCACCGTATTTCACCACCAAGACCCATTGCCCCTCTGCCATGTGTCCTGCCTTGGAGCCAGCTATGGACTGAAATTCCTACAAACTGTGACTTAAATAAAATCTTGGATGTTGGATATTTTGTCTCAGCAACAAGAAAAGTAAGAAAAGACATGAATTTTTATAGAACAAGCTGTGCTCTATCCCTGCCACACTGTGTTCTGCACTCACCTCTACCACAGGGGTGGCCACACAATTCTTTCCTCTGTGCTGTGTGTCCAGTTACCAAAGGTCCATCAGATTCTTTTACAAAGTTTTACTGGGGACACAGAAGTGAGGAAAATAGAGTCTCAACCATAAGGAAAGGAAAGTCTAGTCTGAGAGATTGTGTGAATCACTACCCAAGACACTGGGTAATGAGTGCTAATAGAGGTTTTAATACTTTAATATGGCCACAAAGAGGAGAAAATAATGAGTCCTATCTGAAAAGAAGTGGGACTTGGAGAAAGATCCCTCAAGGAGAGGATATTTGAGTGGGGTATCAAAGATTAAATAGGAGTTTACCAACCAAAGAAGGGGAGGAAAGGATATTTAGGCAGAGGAAGCAGCATATTCAAAGCACATCAGATGAGACACATGTAAGCCACTGTATCTGGAGCGTGGTTATTTGAAAGGAAGATGGGAGGTAGGATCAGAAGATGTTGATTGTTGCTTTGGTCTCCATATGCACATAGGATACTCTAAGTTTCCAAAATCAAAGTAGTTTTATATTTTGTTTATATTTTGTTCATTTGTTTGTTTGTTGAGACAGGGTCTCATTATGCAGCACAGACTGGCTTTCAACTGACTGTGTATTTAGCGTAGGCTGGCCTTGAACTTGCAGCAATCCTCCTGCCTCAACCCGAGTCCTGGGATACCAGGCACATAGCACCATGCCTGGCACAAAGTGGATGTAAAAATAAAGATATGTGTGTGTTCGCTCACATAACTGTACAGACATGAGCTGTCCAGGGCTGCAGAGGCCTGCTCCTGTCTTGGTGCCCAGCCATCCTGGGCACATAGACCCTGTTCACATAGCTGGTCACAGCTTGCCCCACACATCGGATTCTTTCCTTTCTACCGCTGTGCTCTATCCCTGCCATGGTGCATTCTGCACTCACCTCTACCACAGCTGCTGTGTGATGTACCATGAGCATCCTGTCCTTGCTCTGTGCCCAGTGGGGGTGTCAACCCTTTCTCCAAGGATAGAACTGGGGAACTAGACATCTCTCCTAGGTATGTTCCCACATGGCAGAGCCTGGCTATGAGGAACTTGGGAAATGTAGTTCTTCCTCTGGAAGGCCGCTTCTCAGGATCCACCAAGTTAAAACCAGAAGTTCTTTCTGTAAGAAAAGAGAGAGCAGGCAGGAGGAGGCCAGCAGCAGCCCTCACAGTTGTATGCCTTGCATGCTGTGCCCATGAGCTCTAGGTGCCATGGGCAAACTAATGCAATGTACTTGAACTTTTTGGCTTATTTATCCTGGCATGCTGTTTTGGTAGTCATTTTCTGATTTCTGAAAATTAGAACTTTCAGGATATACAAGATTACCAAACGTCAGCAAATAATGAATGAATATTGACTCAAACACAGGTGCTTAGGAAGCAGGAATTTTCCCTCAAACCTAGCCTGCATGAGATTTAAGAACTCATTATACTCTATTGCCCAAGTTTACAAAAGCAAATCAGGAGCCCTCTTTCCTCTGCCCTGGACCAAAGGGATGGGAACAGACTTCTCATAAAGGAGGGGAGGAAAACAAGGCGGATGTCAGATTTATACTGTCTCGCACCTGAACCCCCATATAGCTGCCATTTGGGATGGCAGCTGACCCTTCTTGACTTCAACTACTCCATCTATAAAATGGGGACAACCCTGATTCTCAGATTGGCAGGATTAAGTGAGACACACTATATGACCCATAGAGGGCATTCAACAAAGGTGTGCTTTTGACTGAAGACCTTGACAGTTACTACACAGCAAGGGTTTGATAAACACTGTTCCCCAAGAATAGATTTAAAAGTCTGATTTCTTGCAAAAAAAGAAGAGCACTTCTAGCTAGCTTAATACCTTAATCAAGTGATCAATCTTAACTTGAGAAGTCAAGGGCAAAGTGACATCACAGGATAACTGTTGTGTCCCACCAGGGACAGAGCATCCCTTCCATAAATGTGTGCCCTGAATTTACTGAGGAAGAAGCATCACACAAATCCAAGACCAGGTTCGTTTTGGAAAATGACTGTCCTGGACTCTTAAAAACCTCGATGTCATGAAACACACGCATATACACAAAGAGAAAGGAACAGTTCTGGCTGAAAGGAGATGAAGAATATAATATAATATATAATATAATATAATAATGGGGACAAATTTGATTAAGTAAGAAAATCTTAGAGGACATTGTTGATGTAAGAGAGTATCTAAGAAATCCATGCTGATGTATTTAGAAGTGAAATGTGATGGCTGGAATTCACTTTCAAAGATTTTTTTAAAAGTATATTTGAGTGTGGAGTGTATTGCTGAGAGGGAGAAAAAAATACTAAACCAAAATGTAGCAAAATGTTAAGAGTTGGTGAAGGGACATGGGATGTTATTTCCATGTATTATTCTTTTAACTTTTGGAAGCAGCTTGAAATTTGTCAAAATAAAAATTGCAGGAGAAAAACATGATGTTACAAAGGGAAAGAATTTGTGCTTTACATAAGAGGGTTAACTTAAGGCTACATATTCAAGAGTATTCTTGGATTCAGTTTGTCTACTGCTTCTTTCAGTGAAAATATAGAAAAATAAAATCATTTACTTTTGTATTTGCATTAGAAAAGAAGAAAGCTATGGTTTGCTTTGGTTAGTCCCTGTCAGATTCATGTTGAAAGTTAACTATAATATAATAGTGTGGGAGGGAAGTACTTTTGAGATGATGACCCTTGGGCTCTGCCCTCTTGAAGGGCTTAATGTAGCTCCCTGGAGAGTGGGCTGGAGATGTTTGGAGCAGGTTGTTATAAAGCAAGCCTCTCATCTCCCCCAAGTCTCTCTGGAAAATGCATTCCTTCCACAGAGCCCACTTCACCTTTGACTTGCCCACCATGCGTGGAGCAATGCATGAGACTCAGCAGAAGCTGAGCAGATGTTCTTGGACTTCAGGACTGAGGAACAAAATAAACTACTCTCCCTTGCAATTTTGGCAGACGAATTTTGGTAATTTTTGGTAGGAACAGAAAACAAACTAAGACAGATCCTTTGCTCATGGCAGGCCCAGGATGCTGGGTGGGCAGCAGATGAAGCAGGGAAAAGAGAGTCACCTTCACCTTTGAGACGTCATCAGCTTTGTCATCAATGACAACCCTGAAAACAAAGTCCAGAAGCAGAAGCAGAAAATTAGGGTGGCAACGGTCTTCTAAAATATATCCATGCAAACATGAGTTTCCCACAATGAGATCAAAAGCCATCAAGCTGCAATGACAAGGCTGAGCCGGAAGACGACTCAGAGATGAACAGGTCAGGATTCTGACTGTGGAGATGGAGGGGACTGGCAGAACAGGTGGCACCGAGGTCTCTCGGGTATTTGTATTTGTCTCAGTCACTTTATTCGTTGCTGGAACAAAATACTTGATACCCACATCTTAAGGGAAGAGAGGTTCATTATGGGTCACATTTCAGCACACAGTCAGCTGGCTCCAAGGCAGAACAGCATAGCAGAAGAAACTTACAGCATGGTAACCAGGAAGGACGGGGGAGCTGGGGATGGAGATATTATCACCTTTAAGGTCATACCCACAGTGTCCTGCCTGTTCCAGTCAAACCCCATCTCTAACAGCAAGTCAGCTACATAGAAGCCTCTATAACCTACTCACCTCCCAAAAGCCCTCCCTGTGATTGCATGAGGCATTCAGGAGACATCTAAGTATAAACCATAACAGCATCATGTGGCTGCAAAAACTTGTTATCTGCATGCACCTGCTGAGACGTAATCTGCTCCTTCAGTTTTGGAGCTTGACTAAAGGTGCAGTTACCCTGGAACTACCTAATCTGGTGTCAGTGAATGCCCTAAATAACCCAGAAGAAGACTCAATTAAAAATACACACTAAGACAACACAGGTAAAAGCTCCTGGCAATATCTGCAGAACAGAAGGTAGACAGCAAGTTCTATATTTAAAATAACTTACAAGACTTTCAGAACGTGATGTATGTCCTAAAGGCAGTGCAATGGTAACACGTTTTGCAGAGCAGTGAACTGGGAAGTACATTGTTCATGACAGGGTTGATGTAAACATAGATATTCAAAAATTTACATAAACTTATGATAAACCTGAAATAAATTTATACTAAAATATGCTAATTCAAAGTATGTAAGTACACTCCAAATTATATGTAAACATTATACTTTATATTGGCACATTATTACATTATTTATTACTTACCCTTTCATGAATGCTGTGGTTTGGACGTGGACTCCAAATGCTCATGTGTGGAAGGTTTGGTTTCCAGCCTGTGATAATTGGAGCTGGCAGGATCTTTAAAAGGCAGAGCCTACTGGAAGAAAGTAGGTCATTAAGGGTTTGTCCTTGAAGGGGATGTTGGGACCCCATCCCTTCCTCTCTCTCTTGCAGCTTCCTAATTGCTGAGGTGAACAGGTTTCCTTTGCCACATGCTGCCTGTCACGTGGCCACCTCATCACAGAACCAAAGCAACAGGTCAACCAACCACGGACTGAAACTTTGCAATCATGAGATGAAATGAAGCTTTCCTCTTTGAAAGTAATTTATCTCATGTGTGGTCACAGTGATGGAACCCTAACACAACAGCCTAATCCATACAGAAGTGGGAGAACTCTCAGTGGCACAGCTGACCCAGTGGCTGTGAGCCTCACTGCAGAGTTCTCGTAAGTCTGGAACTCTGCCAGCTCCCTCTGGGCTCCTATCTCCAACCTGTCCATGGGATGTTCCTGCTTTTTAACAGTAGATTCAAAGTAAAAAATGATACTGTGATTTTGTAGATGAAGAAACAACTGAAATTGCTTCAGTTCTGGGGCTCCTTTATAGTGTTTCTTCATACTTATAAAGGGTATATATATATATATATATATATATATTTTTTTTTTTTTTTTTTTTTTTGGTACCGAGGATTCAACTCAGGACTGCGCACTTGCAAGGCAGGCGCTTATGCCACTGAGCTAAATCTCCTATAAAATTTGAAATTATGAAGTGAAGTGCAATCTGCAACATAAATGCCTCCCTTTTACGAAAGTAAATGTGATAAAATTATGAATTTACTGCTTTTTCCATGTGTACACATGCACACATATTGCAAAATATATGATGTTTAATATATTTTTTCACGTCTAAAGCATTTCCTTTCTAAGTATTGTCATTATTCCTTTTGTCTTACGACTGTAATTGAGGAGATTTTGCTCTCTGGAAAGGGGAGTATTAAAGACAACCCTCCCTAGAGAAGTCTTATTTGAGATGCACCAGGTGGAGACAGCAGGTTGACCACAGGATCTGCTTTGCTCCATCCCAATCCCCTCTCAAGGAACAGCAGAGGCTTACTTTAAAGAGGAGTGGACAGTGCTGGGCATGGGGCATATACTTGTGAACCCAGTAACTTGAGAGGTTGAGGCAAGAGAATAGTGAGTTTGAGGCCAACCTGGGTAACTTAGTGAGATCCTGTCTCAAAAAATAAAAAAGAAAGGAATATAGGTCCATAGTAGAGTATCCCTGGGTTCAATCCCCAATATATAAGGGATATTCAAACTATATGTCTATGTATGTGACCTGATAATGAAGAAATAAAGACAAAAGTATAGAGTTTGGAATTGAGCTGGTGACAAAATACAAAGAAAACTGAGCCAAGCTTGATGGCTCAGACCTGTAGCACTTGGGAGGCTGAAGCAGGTGGATCATTGTGAGTTTGAGACCAGCCGAGGCTACAAAGTGAGCTCAAGGCCATCCCTAACTGCATATGAGACCCTGCCTCAAAAAGATCAAAAAAATTATAACAATATTGTCTAGGAAAAGTCATCTAAAACATCATTTTTTTTAATTTCTGGGAGTTTTAATTTGCTATTTTCAGACTGCCTTTGGTCATGCTTTTCAAGTTTGGATCAGAAGTGTCCCCAGAGGTCTATGTGTTCCAGGAGTGGTCCTCAGACCACCACACTCACATGAACATGGTGGAACCTTCCAGAGGTAGGGCTTGGTGGAGGAAGGCAGGCCATGGGGATGTGGCCTTGAAGAGGATGCCAGGACCCTGGCATCTCCCTTTCCTTTGCTTCCCAGGAGGCTGAAGAAGCCTCCTCTGCCATGTGTCCCTGCTGTGATATTCTGTGTCACACAAACCCAAAGCAAAGGGATCAAGTAACTGGGAATTTAAGACTCCAAAGCTATGAGCCAAAAAGAAACCTTTCCTCTTTATAAGTTATTTGTCTTAAGTATTTGTCAGAGCAATATAAAGCTGACAAACACACACAGAAAAGGAAACATGGATAGGGAAGGGGATTGCCAAACTCTTAATCCAATGCAAAAGCACAAATACTGTTGATTTCTAATAGCAGCGGCTCAGAAACTCACCCTCCTTCCCAATGACCCTCCTACCTGGACCCAGGCCACTTTGTCACAGAGCATCTCCTTTCAACCCTAAACAAATGAAGCTCAACTAAAGCTCTAACCCATGCCAGACATGGTGATATACCCCTGTAGTTCTAGCTCTCAGGAGGCTGAGGCAGAATTGACATGACTTCAGAGCCAGCCCGGATAACATACTGTTGTGAGTTTAAGGCCAGCCTAGAACACACAGCAAGACCCTGCCTCAAAACAATGACAAAAATCCAAACTGTAGTATACATATAAAATACTCAACAAGTTAAGTTTGCAACTCAGGGTCCAGGATATAAATCAGTTTCATAGCGATTGCTTGGCAAGTGCAAAGTTCCTAGCGTTTTTTCACAATGAACACACCAACATCCAGAGTAAAGACAGTAGGTCCAGCATATCCAGAAATTTCCCCTGTACCCCACTAGTCCCTCCTCACCTATGTTCCTTTCTCCTGATCTGCACCTTCTTGGCCTTGGTCCTTACTCAGTAGGGTGGGGTAAACAAGCAGGTTTCCTCAGAAATGGGTGTGAGATTAGCTCATCCCTCTGCAGGGGAGGTGGAGATTGGATTCTAGTATCATGGTGACTGTGTTCAAAGGCCAATGTGCACTCTCCAGGGACAGACTATTCACTGCACGTGTCACATATCTAGCCATTTAAAATAGGCTGGTGCCGGGCTGAGTAGCACATTCCTGTAATCTCACTACTTAGGAGGCTGAAGCAGGAGGATGGTGAGCTGGAAGCCAGTCTGGGAAACTTAGTGAGACTGTGGCTCAAAATTAGAAATCAAAAGGGACAGGGATGCAGCTCTGTGGTAGAGAACACCCTGGATTCAAGCCCTGTGTGGGCTTGAATCAACAAAGGACTGAGATATACCTGGCCACTGAGTCAGGAGGTGAAGAAAAATGGCTCATATGCTGTAAATAGTCACCCAGTGTAACAAAGACTCCTTAGCCATCCTGGGGGGACTGAAAATGGGACTCAGGATGCCACCTTCTAGCTCTATCAGAGAATCTTGTTCATTGTCTCTGCCACCTTCTCAAGTTCAGAGTTCTTGTGACCTCCCCATAGCCTGCCTGACTGGCCACCCTGGTTCTGTCTTCTTGGCATAACTCCACACACCTGCCACATCTTTGGAGGGCAGCTTTGTAATATCTGACAAAATTCCCTGAAAGTGTGCTCCTTGAACCAGAAACTGTGACCTTAGAAACAAGTCCTGAAGAAGGATCAAGCTGTGAGCACACAGACTCAAAAGTCTTGTTGTTGCTGTGGTGCTCACACATCTGAAAAAATGTTGTGTTCTAGAGGTTGATTAAATGCAAAACCACTGTGAGTGCTGGAAGCACTTGAGGAGATGAAGCAATCATACACAGGACAGGCAAACTTTTCCTGTGAAGAGCCAGTCAGTAAATAGCTACAGAACAAAATGCATCTGTACTCATGTCTACACCACCAGCAGATGGCCATAGACTTGGTGACCAGGTCATTTTCTTTACACTCTGTTCATTTCTGAGACAAACTACCCAATGCCCAAAATTAAAGGGAGGAAAGGATTATTTAGCTCATAGTTTGTAAAAGTTTTGGCTCTTAGTCTGTTAATTGCAAGACAGGGTGGCATATAGCAGAGGGATAAGTTCATGATGGTAGAAGACCCTTAATCCCAGCATTGGACCATGAATTAATTACAAATTCTAGATTCAGCCACCTCTGAAAATCTCTACCCCCTACCCTCATGACTGCATGAGGCTTTGGGGGAACGTCTAGACACAAACTATAACTTTCCACCCCAGCCCAGACTCATGCACATGCCTTTATGCAAAAGGCATTTTGTCTATCTCTAAAAGTTGTCAAAGTCCAAACAATCTCAGCATTGCTGAAGAGTCCAAGTCCCAAGACACCTCTGAGATTTAAGGCAAACTATTAGCTGTGAGCCCCTGAACAAATGAAAAGAAGGTTAAACATTTCCAACATTCAGTGGCACAAGACAGACATTTTTATTTCAAAAGTTACAAACAGGGGATTACAAAGGAAAGTGACCAAAGCAAGTCCAAAGTCCAGCAGGGCAAACATTGAGTCCTGTAGGTCCATGTGTAGTATCTGAGGAAACCTATGGCAAGATGTAAATCCAAAAGTGGCTCTGCCCCTGAGGCACTACTGGTGGTTGTAGCTCTCATGGCTCCTCTCTTGGGCTCATTCTACTCCCTTACATTTTCTCAGATGATCCATGTTCCTGGCTTCTTCAAACTTCTGAGGTCTCCAATGCACCTTTGGCTTCACATTTACAGATTCACATATTGCCCTCTTGGACACATTGCCTGGCCTCCTAGGCCTTTATCTGAAATCTGGGTGAAAGCCTTCCTGATCCCACAACACTTGTATTCTGTGTGACCTTAAAACCAGCACCACATGGATGATGCCAATTTCTGCTGTCAGCTGGAGGAGTAGCCAGGCTTTCCTCTCCCTTGGCTATAGGGGATGAATGCCTGAATTGTTGGGCACTCTCATTCCAGTTCAAAGGAAAAAATTCACTAGGCTGTCACCATTTTGGTGCATGATGTTCTGAGACTTTTTCTCAAAATAAATCCTTTCACTTTTACAATTTTGAGGCTGCAAAGCGTAGAATCCTGCTGCTACTTGTGATGACTTCAGGCCATCTGCTTTATTCTCTTGTTCTTTCTCAACAGTCAAGATCTCCTCTGCTCTATCTTTGTAGTCCACAGCTTTACTGGAACTTCCTTTCTGGCCAAACTCACAATATTTTAAATCATTCTGCTGGGTTCTTTGCTCTTGATTCTCAATATAAATCTTGTTAAAAGACCCCAATGATAGTCATGCCACTGCCTCAAAATTAGACTGCCTTGAAATTTCTTCTGCTAGGTTAATTAGTTTGCTAACTTTAATCTCAGGTTCAAAGTCTCTGGGTATGAGCAAAATACAG